ATCTGCTGTGTGGTCGATTTGGGCAGTGCTCTGAAGTCAGAAGCCTGCAACCCAAAACCCTTTTGGGGATACATGGGATACAGTTTGGAGAACTGACCACGGGGCAGTCTGCGTACTTGGTTTAGGGTTGAGGGGGTTTAGAACCGTCCCTTTCTTGCGACCGGGGTTTGTTGCCAGTTTACTTCTGCAGATAGACTTGTCCACTGCGCCATGACGAGTACAGAGACCCAAAGTCGGGCGGCAGCTCCTGACCAGAAGCGTCAGCAGCCACCGGCTTTCTTCAAGGACCTGGACTGGCCGAAGTTCGAAGCAGCTGCTCTACCCTTGACAACGGCGCTTAGTAGCTGAGTGAGCACACTTTACACTTCTTGGGATACTATACTCCCCTATAGAGCTGAAAGTGTACACTTGTTGGGGGGGCTTATGAACTCAGCAACTGAGACTAAGGTCTACAACCCACCACAGTTGGTCAGCAGCTGCAAGGGATTGGGTGCGCGTGTCTCCATGTGCTGGAACTGCTTGTTTACCCATCGCGCACCTATCTGTGCCAAGCCGCAGATTCCCTGCTGTTGCGCCAGCATTGCACAAAGCCGCGTCCAGGACTTGGCACACGTGAAGCTCTCCGAACCAGATGAGTGGTTTGTGAAGATGCTCAGCGTTGAGCACCCAAACACTCCTGAGTTCTTGAAGGGGATCTTCTGGATGGAGGACAACTATGCTCCCGAAGTGCTGCTGACATTCCAAGACATGGACTGGGCATCGGGAACGCAAGGCTACTTTAACCCAAAGTACAGTTGGACGAATGATCCAACCTGTATCGGAACATGCTGCTTGTGCATGCATCTCAACAACTCTCCAAGCACTGCATGGCCATTTACTTTATCACCAAACGGCAAGTGGATCAACATTAACCCACAGTGGATCTACAGACCTGATGAGGGCGAGAAGATCACTCGACCAGATGGCTCTGTTGTGGAGATGGGGCGTGGGGACATGATTCGAGTGAGCTTCCAAAATGCCAGTGATCCGACATCAGGTGTGAACTATCAGTACCTTGTCCGCCTGGTGGCCTTCATGGAAAATGGAAAACTCGTCAAGACCAAGGCCTACGATGAACTCCGCCGGAGAGCAACGATGCAAGACACAATTGGTGGTTGCTGTGGCGGTTACTACAATTGTTCGCCCGTGGGCGAGAACTACATCCACGATGCTTACGAACCATTGTCAGATCAGCAGGCGCTCCTCTTCCCGCCGCCACTGGAAGTCATGTGGCCTGATGCGGTTTCTCTTGAGGCAGTGTCTTTCTAGCACCCTGTTCTGCTTTTCAACATGAAGAGCCCAGAGCACTGAATTACTGATGTAGCATGTGCAAGACTTGAGTCGAACTGCGACGCTGAAATGGTACATCTGGGAAGGGAAGGTTTGCGGGTGGGTCTTGTGCCAGCACGTTGAGTTATGTTCGGTTTCTACAGACTTGGGTCCAAGATTTTGGGAAGAAACCGGTCGTGCTGGCGCAGATGGGCGGGGGCGTGGGGATGGTGGGGGTGGTTTGGCGGGCTAGAATAGATCCTAAACCTGAACCCTATAAACCCTAAACCCGGAACCCCTAATTAAACCGGATGTCAAGAGCTAAACTCAAGACACAATGAAGAAAGTCTTTTGCTTAGGCAAGTCATGTCCGCACGGGCCAGCAGAGACAGTTCGCACTCCAAATGCTCCGATTCTTTATTGGCAGGCGCATCTAACTCTTGCCCTGAACCCAACCCTGAGCCCGGAACTGAGGCACTATAAGAAATATGTCCCTTTTGCGAGCGAGCCTCCCCGACAGAGGGTTTGCAGCAACCAGGTTTGTGGCCGAGGGGGTCACGCTGCCCTGGCGAATATACGCCTCTTGGCTTGTGCCTACTCCTGCGGCTGTCGACCCCTAACAAACTCCCACACGCCGAACACACGACGCGTAACCTTCAACAGCCCGCAAAGTGCACATGTTCATGAAGCCGCCTTACTTCCCCCTCTCTCTTTACCTTCCTTCTTGTTGTGGGTTCCCGTATCATCATAAAGTAACCAGTAACCAGCCCAAAAAAGGGTGCCCTAATTATGATATGGTTATTGGGCTACCAAGCTCTGCGCAGCTGCAGTGAGCTGTTGTGACTTCATTCTTGGTCGCAGTCCTGATGTCGGAGGCCCATACCGCAGCCCAACCCTAAACCCTCGACCAGGCAGCCGGTACAAGGGTGCAGTAGCTTCAGCGGCTGAGCTGTCGAGCAAGATCCCTTTCAAACCTTTGTTGCGTAGCAACGACCCAATGGAATCGCGCAATCTGGCCAGTTCTAGTTTCCCTAGGCAACTTCCGTGGCCAATCGAACAATCAGGCTCCGACTTCTTAAGCAAAAGTGCTAAGTCCCAAGTCCTAAACCCATTCCCCAACCCCAACTCCAAAACCAGTTGAAGCTGAATGACTAAATCCTGAGCCTTGATTGTTGGAGCGCTTCAGGCAATCTGTGAAATTTGGCGCGCCCAGAGCAAAGTTGCAGGCAACCGAAGCCATTACTAGCGCCCCAAGACATCAAAACATTCTGCCCTAAACCCTTAACCCTAAACCCTAAACCTGAGGGTGGTTTGTCGGCTCAGGTATGCTGTTCCAGAGCACCCGAGGCCGATGGGGGCTTCAGGGCATAGAGTTCAGGGTCTAAGTGCTTGGGGGGGGGCTTGAGGGGAATTCAGGTGAGTTCAGGGGGGTTTAGGGTTGGGAGACCAGCTCCCCCCCTCCGAAGCCAAACCCGAAAACCCCAAAACCCTACAAACCCTGCAAACCCGAAAAAAATCCTAGAAACCCTATCAACCCTATAAACCCTTTCACCTGGTAGCTGAGTGGTACCCCTTTTTGCCCTCTTGGGTCCCTTGCAGAAACAGCCGACCCCAAACATGGCCCCAAACCCCAAACCCCAAACCCCAAACCCCAAACCCCAAACCCCAAACCCCAAACCCCAAACCCCAAACCCCAAACCCCAAACCCCAAACCCCAAACCCCAAACCCTAAACCCTAAACCCTAAACCCTAAACCCTAAACCCTTACTTTCAGAGGTGTAATTATCTAAAAATCGCGGGGTTTTTTAAGGATACTGAAATTAAGGGTACTCTACAGGGGACCCAGAAAGGGACCCTAATGTAGAGAACTGCTTGAACTGCCCATGTAGTTACTACTGGGCTAAGCCCGACAGGATGGATATTGGGGGTACTTTTGGTGGGATACTTACAAGGGGATGGGAGCTGGAAAGGAGATAGTCTTGGTAATTATCTAGGCTCTTGTGTTTGGTTTCTAACACCCTGTATATATTCCGAAAAGACTTGCCTGTGCTTTAGCATCTGCGCTTTTTTGAGGAGCACAGCCCGTCTCCTAAACCCAAAGACCTAGAGTTCGAAATCCCCAAAGTCCTCGGACCAAGGGCCGAAGCTCACACGAAACAATTGTCGCATAGCAGCTAGATTGCATAGGGCTGCTGCATCCAATGGTTTAGTGAAGACTGAAACCCGTAAAGCTCCATGATGCCTCAAATCCCCCGAAACGCTCAAAGCCCTAAAGCCCTGAACCCTCAACTCCTAAACCCCCCAAACTTCCTTCCCGGAGAACCCAACATCCCTTAACTAAGGAATAGACCTTACACTTACACCATATACATGTATACATATATATGGTATAGCTATACTTATGAAACCACTCATGCATCCTCACATACTTGCAGGTCTGTTCCTGAATCAAGCGGTTATTCCCTGAACCCTAAACCCTAAACCCTAAACCCTAAACCCTAAACCCTAAACCCTAAACCCTAAACCCTAAACCCTAAACCCTAAGCCCAAACCCTAAACCCTAAACCCTAAACCTTTGGGTTCTTTCAAGCGCACGGCAGGGCCGGACGGATGAAATTCTAGAGGTCCTCGCTCTGCCCTCAGGGGAGCTATAGGGTTTAGGAGTTGGGGTACAGGGTTTAGGGTTTAGGGTTTAGGGTTTAGGAGTTGGGGTACAGGGTTTAGGGTTTAGGGTTTTGGGTTTAGGGTTTAGGATTTAGGGTTTAGGGTTTAGGGTTTAGGGTTTAGGGTTTAGGGTTTAGGGTTTAGGGTTTAGGGTTTAGGGTATGGGTTTCAAGTTTGAAGTTCAGGGTCTGGGGATTCTTGTTCAGGGTTTAGGCTCGAGTTCCACCTGGGGTGTTTAATCGCTGGCAGTGGTTCCGGCAAGGCCGCTGCATGAGTGTCGCTACTACTTCTCAGGAAGGCAAGAACATGAAGCAGGTGGACTTAGGTTAGCTTAACAGAACACTTACCCTAAACGCTAAACCCTCAACCTTAAACCCCTAAACCCTAAATCCCTAAGCACATGAAGAGCCCTACCAAGCCAACCCCTACGACGAAGTGTTGGGGGAGGCAGTGCGTAGTGGTTTTTTTCTGTTGCCAGATCAGAAAGAACACAAGGTTGAAGTCGAGAGAAAGAAAGGGGGCCAGAAAAGCCATTGCATGTCGGAATGTATGCTGCATTTTGGGGTTAGGGGTTTAGGGTTTTGGACTTAGGGTTCAGGGTTTAGGGAGCATGTTGGAGTTATTTGGTGCACGCTGTGCTGCTCCGGGTGGGGGCACGGCTCATCAGCACCATCAGCTATTGTTTAGGAACACGCAACGAGCACCATGTCTGATAACCCTAAACCTCAAACCCCAAACCCCAAACCCTAAATTGACCCTAAACCCTAAACCCGAAACCCTAAACCTAAACCCTAGGGATCCAGATGGCAGCGGGCAAGGACTCCTTGGGACTCCTCTAAGCTTGCCTTGCGTCCTCTTTAGGGTTTATGGCTTAGGGTTTACGGTTCAGGGTTTAGGGTTTAGGGTTTAGGGTATCATCCCCAAAATAATCAATCTTTGCCAATCGGGGGGTTTCCGAGAATAGGGGTACCCTTTTGGGGGGGGGGGGGTCCCTTTACGGGGATTCTATTTTCGGGAATAAAATCCATATATTTGGGAAATTCCCAATTGGCTTCGTTTTTATCATGCCCTCAAGCGAGACTTCTCAGGCTCATATGCGGAGCACCAACGAGTCTCCTGCCAAGGTTCGCGCGGCTTCGACCTTTTTAGTGTTGTTCTCTTCTTCGGTTGTCAAGGTTTTGTGACATTCAGGCCTGTTGCTTCGCACAGGCCCTAGACTACTAGTTGCTCACTTTTCTAGCCCTTTGGTACCCTGTTGCCCCAGTTTGGGCTTTAGGTTCTGTGACAAAAGTGCCGAATCCCAAAAAGGGTATCCTTAGCATTATATAGTTCCTGTGCTACCAAGCAAAAGAACCCCCCCCCCCACACAAAAAAAAAGACGTAAACAATAAAGATAACAACCCGATAGTGTGTGCCCTTATAAGAAAGCTTTGTTTTTTGAGGGGGGCTTCTTAAGCAATTAGAAGCAGGTCCCAAACCCTACCCTAAGAACCCCTAAACTTAAAAAAAAAAAAAAGTAGGTTGCCTAAGAAACCTACAAGCTTGTTTTCGAGTCACAGACGCACAATCACGTAGGTTCTGGATTCTTAAGGTAGACCCCTAAAGAGGCTTTTTCCAGGGGTGCCCCAGCTGAGAGTTCCAACCCCAACCTGCCCATGTGCGTCCCAGCGGTCCCGAGCTTTCCACCTAGAGCAACCTGCATACTTTCTAGTATTTCCATATGTAGATATACCTATATTTTTCGGAGATGGAAAACGAAGATATACAGACCAGCATGTGTGTGTGTATATATATATACATACATACATACATACATACATACATGCAAGTTTACATAGTTGGCAATAGTCATGAGTCATGAATCATTACCGCAAACGTTTGCTTATGGTTCGAAGGGTTATGTAGGTTACCCTCAGTAACTTAGGGGCCGGAATAATTAGAATAGGGTCTTGGGGGTTATTGTAGTACATTATCATTATTATGCACAGACCATAAGGGAAAGTCTTTACCATTTATGCCGAGCCCTATATTAACCCGAGCCCTATTTTGACCCTTACACCTACTTGGAGGGCGAACCGCTACTTCCGCTGAACATCGTGGCTTTTGATCCGACGATCGTTGGCAACGACGAGGAGAAGGCCCCTGAAAGCGCATGAACCCTACAAGACAAAACAAGGCTCTGTTTAAATCTTGTAGAACATCCGTATGGTCGCTGTAAGCCCTTAGTGCACTTGTGATTTGTCGTCTGGGTTTGGAGACCTTAAACCAGTGGATGCTTGGTGGTTCTCAGACCTCAATCTGTTTCCAGTATCGTCAGCGGCGCCCTTACGAGCATT